TAGCAGCAGCAGTCACCATCCCAGGTCTACATCTGTCACTCGTTGCAGGACATCGTGACGAACGTGTCACCACGCATCGTGAAGGGCACGACGTCCGGCTACCTGTACGGACCGGGACAGGGCTCCTTCCTCAACATAGAACTGATTAGCGAGAAGACGTGCGCCTACTGGTGTCGCGCCGTCACCGAGCTCAAGCAGGACTTCCCCGACCGGGTGCGTGGGCTTCTCCGCCGCACGCTGCGTCAATGACGTCTCGCGGCAATGCCGCCGATGTTGACGCCAATGCTGACAATGTCGGCGTCGTTGATGTTGACGGCGTTGTTGATGTTGACGGTGTTGTTGATGTTGCTGGCGTCGTTGATGTTGCCGGCGTCGTTGATGTTGACGGAGTCGTTGATGTTGACGGCGTCGTTGATGTTGCTGGCGTCGTTGATGTTGACGGAATTGTTGATGTAGACGGCGTCGACAATTTTGCCATTTTTGACAATGTCAGCGACGTCAATATTGCCAGCGTCGACAGTTTTGTCATCTTTTACGATGTCAGCGTCATTGATATTGCTAGCTTCGACAGTGTTGCCAATGTTGACGAAATTGTCAGCGTCACTGATATTGTCGTCGTAACAATGTTGACAATGTTGATGTCTCCAGTGTCAATGGCGTCCTTTGCCAGCATTGTCAAGGTGGTCAAAATCGCCAATGCCGCTAATGTTTCCAGTGTCAACAATGTTGCCAGCATTCATAATGTTGCCAACATTGCTGACATTGCCAACATTACTCCGTATACATTGACTATCTGAAGTCCAATGATGTAGAACACTGTATTGGCCGGGCTGGTTGTAGAATATAGCTCGGATCTAATAATTGACTGGTTACCATAAACCGATGTTCTGAGAAAGTCCAGCTTAATAATAACATTAGGTTAAATAATAAGAATAACTTTAGTAATAATCAAGCCGAAACTGTTGATTCTTACAACGGAGATTCGAGATAATTTTCAGTTCATCGGTCTCCGTGGCAACCTGGTTCGTTTGCGGAGGCAGCTGTGTGTAGCAGGTTTTTCTCGTTGCAGGTGCTGATTGCTAGTATCATGTGCAGCTTCATTAAGGAAGACTGGGTTGAGTTGGCACGGATGGCTGAGGTACAACAGTTATACGAATAAATCACTCATCTAGACTAAAACAACATTAAATCTTAAATCTTAAAACATAATACTTAAATTTAATCTTGTAAAAATTAAAGATTAATATTATAGAATATAAATATAATATACCGGGCATAATAGATTAAACATTAATATTAACTTACAAAAGTAACTGGTTGGGAGTGCATATTAAATGTTGTCACTGAAAGAACAGCATCCGATTTGATAATACGTAGTCGGGGGTTAAAATCTGGTCATCCTCTCTGCCCCTTCGAACCCCGTTGGGGGTTTCACCCCGAGACCCCCACTGAAACCGTACCACTTTAAAATTCATTCCGACGTGCCTGATGGGAGGAGAGACGATTCTTCATGTGAGGATAAAGATCAGCGTGGCCAGGTGTTGGTAGGTACCGAGGGGGATCAGGAGCGAGAGGATCGCAGAGAGAATCCCAAGGATCAGGAGGAGGACCATGATGTATGGAACCCGGAAAATATTAGGAGATTACAGGATAAGGACCCTGTGATTGTCTTCTTCAAGGAACGAAAAGAAGCGGCGTTGGACAGACCTGAGTTTGCAGAAATTGCAGGAATGGGATCGGAGGCAAAAGCGTACTGGGGGCAGTGGAATCAATTAGCAGTTCAGGAAGGTAAATTGTATAGACGATGGGAGACGCCAGTCACGCCAACTCATCCCATACTTCAGCTGGTGATACCTAAAGAATTACAAAGAGAAATATTTCAGCAATTACATAACCATCGTACAGCAGGACATCAAGGAGAGAAACGGAGTAGAGCCAGCATTAAGCAACGGTTCTACAGGCCACACTACACGAAGGATATCAAGAGATGGTGCCAGTACTGCACTGTCTGTGCTCGGAGGAAACCTGGAAAAGGGTTGAAAATGGGAAGGTTAAAACAGTCGGAAGTTGGAGCTCCATTCGAGCGGGTGGCCATCGACATCATGGGACCGCTAGAAGAAACCGAGAAAGGGAACAAGGTGATCATGGTAGTATGCGACTATTTCACAAAGTGGATGGAGTGCTTTGCGCTGCCGAATCAGGAGGCATATACAGTAGCGGACGTCTTGGTGACAGAATACATCTGCCGGTACGGGGTTCCGTATCAAATCCACACCGACCAAGGACCAGACTTTGAATCTCGCTTATTTCAAGGAGTCTGTGAGATCCTGCAAATAAACAAAACGAGAACAACACCTTATCATCCTAGGTCCGACGGTTTAGTAGAACGATATAATAGAACCCTTCAACAAATGCTCTCTTTATTTGTTAACCAAACCGAGACGACTGGGATGATCATCTGCCGTTCATCGCGATGGCTTACCGAGCGACCACACAAGCATCTACTGGGTGTTCACCAAATTTAATGATTTTCGGAAGGGAGATACATATGCCAGTGGACGTCATGGTAGGACCACCGCCGGGTACCGTGGGGAAGTGTCCTCATGAGTACGTACAGTGGATCCACGATGTCATGGGGGAAGCCTACGTTTTTGCGAGAACCACATTAAAACAAGCAGCAAACCGACAGAAGCGGGCGTATGATAAAAGTGTTAGGCCAATTACCTTCCAAGAGGGAGAGTTCGCATGGTATTGGTACCCCCCGGGGGTTCGGAGAAAATTAGGACATGACTGGCGGGGGCCATACTTAATCATCAGGTAATTGAATGAACTACTCTACGTCATTCAGCAGGAGCCACGAGCAGGAAGAAAAGTAGTGCACATCGACTACTTAAAGCCCTATAAAACGGAGCAACCATTGGAAGATTGGCGAGAACCCCCGAGAGAAGAGCAGGGGGAGCCCACAGATCATGTCGAGGAAGGCGATGATGAGGGGGAGGAGATCCCGTGGGAAATGCTATTTCAGGAACCGGCGCTAGAAGGGGAGGAAACAACAGAACAGACCTATGAAGCAGATCTTAGTCTGAGGCGGGGGAAGAGAGCCCGTAAACCACCACAGAGGATGGATTTGTAAGGAAGGGGCCTGCCTCACCCAGTGCAGAAACGGCCATTATTTGTTTTGGTTTTGTTTAGGTGGACAGGATGTCATGCAGCGACTCATCGCTTTGGGTTTTTTGTTGTTTTGTTTTGTTTTCTCTACTTAGACTTCCCGATGGAGTTGGAGCTGAGACCGCGAGAGGGGGAAACCATCTCCGGAGAGGAGGAGAGTGATGGCGGCAGGATAGCTCGCCAAAAGAGAGCGACAACTAGATGGGGTCAGTGGCCCGAGGAGATCACCTGCGCCCGGCAGGCCGAGCGAGAGGCAGAACGGGAGGCCCGCTTTCACCTAGCTAGGGCAGGGTGGTCATGTCAACGCTGCTGGGAAGAACAGCACCCAGAAAGGGAGGTGACCCTCCTGGACCTCCCGTTTGCCTGGAGCATGAAGACAGCCGAGGACCAAAAAAAGTCGTCGATAGTCATGGTCACACCAATAGGCATGAACGGCGGACTGCAGCAGGATTCGTTAGAGAGGAGGAAGGAAAGGAGTAACAGAAGAATAATGGAGAGGCGGCAGCAGTTGAGGAAGGGTATGAAAGCAGTGGAGGAGGAAGAATCCTATAGGGAACAGCTGGAGAAGGAGGGGCAGGCAGAACGGGAGCGAGTCGAGAAAGAAAAGGGGAAGGCAGAGGAGAAGTTGAGGGGAGTAAAAGTAGAATTGGAAGAGGCAAAGAAGAAGGAGTGAATAGGTGAAGTGGTATTGAAGGAGGAGGTAGATCGGTTGAGAGAGGGGGTTGAGATGAGAGAGGACCGACTCATCTCGTCGTCGGGTGAAGGAGAAGACTAGAAAAAAGAAAAAGAAAAACATTAAAAATTTCTCCTCCCATTATCTTATAGGCATTATATTTACAGGTAGAATATAGGCGAGAAGAACTATGAGAGAGAGATAAGAATAAGGAAAAAAACGGACAAACGCTAGTAAGAGCTCATATTATTGTTATATCAGTATTATTTGGTTGTGATATTTTTATATACTGTTACTCAGTCTCAGGGAACAAGCTACCTCTCGGTAAATAGATATAGATAAATAGATATATATCATTGGCAGGAAATGATGCTAAATACAGGAAATATTTATATCTTTGGTATACTGTTGAGACTCAATACAGTAAATATCTTTATATAAAACAAAAGGGTAGACAAAACGTTGGGGTAGGCAAAGGCGTATCCGAGGGCGGATACTACTAGAAGTTGGGGGGAGTGTAGAGATTTCGGGTGGTGTAACTCACATGAGCAGTAGACTAGATCAGGATGGATTGAACTCGCAGTATAGATAGAATAACCATATATTGACTAAAGACAGGATAAAATATAGACAGCACATCAATATAACGATCAACACCTGGGCGCAGCCATCTTGGATCATACGGATGGGGTCTAGGGAGAACAAGGGATGTAAGCGAAAACGCAATATATAGAGTATAATAATCAACGCGTTTATGTACTATTAATCAGCATAATATACGAGGAGATTTGAATAGAATGAATAGTCTAGGTTGTCGAAGAGAGGAATATTTACGTAGAAACGAGTTGCGTCAGCAGGGGAGACAATCGTACCAGCCTCGGAATCTGCGTGGGGAGTAGTGTTTTGACGACGCGTACTTAACAACGGCATGTAGGGAGGCGTTGCCAGCTAGGTATATAAGGCGCGCCGAACCGCAGCACAGAGAGTGTTATTTTTCGGTTAGGTAGGAAGAAGAAGGGGAAGAAGGAGAAGAAGAAAGCATTTTAGGTCCCGGGGAGATAGAAAAAGAGGGAATAGGAGAACGGGGTTTCAGGTAGGTAGAACTACGGGTACAAGGAATAAAACGGGAAGGAAAGAAGCACGGGATTTCAGGTAGGTAGAGCCAGGAGCGACTACGAGGTAGACACCCTTGGAGGCTACCTAGGTCTACGCGAAGAAAGGACGACGGGGAGAGGGGAAGATGAAGCCGGCGACGCGTTAATTCTTTAATATTAGTCTAATGGTTAGTTAAACAACGTAACAGCGCTTCACGCTGCACTGATAATCGTGATAACGGCGAACCAGATAACTTATAACGCAAGCTAAGTAGCGTAAGTTACATATACGAGATAAATACAGATCCGCGGCATATACGAATGCAGGGGAATTATTCGTGAGCTAATAAGTAACAATAAAACTATAACCGTACAGTTAACCGAATATAACTGTGTCCTGTTTCACTGGTACAACCTGTTATACGCTACTGCATCACCGTCCTGCCTAACGGCAGGAGCGAACAATGAATTCACACAACTAAACACATGTTAACTATATAACGCCTGTCATACCGTAGTCGGCTACCCCTAGGCCCACTACACTAATAAAATTAAAACAAATGAATCTAAATAAGAATAAATAAATAAAAGAAAGAGAAGATAGAATAAATAGAAGTGATGGAAGGCGAAATGAAAGACAAACATGGCCGCGTGTTCTTCTCAGGTGAATGTGCAGCTTGCCGTGAACATGTCGCGTGATGTGAACATACTGCGTGCCGCGAACATGCCGCGTGCCGTACCACAGCCTCAGATACTAGCTCACATTGCCTTTTAAGCATTGCCTACATACACATACTACAGCTCATAGGGTCTATGTCTCCCAGGTTACTGCCGGAATGTACCGTGGGTACGGTCTGGTATACCGAAACGTACCCTGGTAACTATCTGATATGGTTAGGGTTAGGGTTTGGGAGTAGGCATAGGCGACTCCTTAGACTCGTTAGTGGAGTAGGCGAGGTACGGTCCGGCATATTAGATAGTTACCAGGGTCCGGACCGTACCCAGGGTACGTTCCGGCAATACCCAGGGGGACATAGACCCTCTCAGCCATACTAAATGTCCTTAAACATACATATACATTTCCCACTTCACACTATTGCCTATTAAACAGAGCCTTTCTTCTTGCAACACATTGAACATTGTACAAGGCCATTGTTTTGCTTGATTAGGATTGTGTTACTGAAAGATTCGTGCTGTGTTCGATTGCGTAGCCGCGGTGTTTTTTTTCCGTCTGGCATCATGAAAATCTTTATGTTTGTAAATCTTTGATTTCCTTGCTGACAATCCACGGATCTCGCCGGCAATCGAGAGAAAACATTTGGGCCAGAAAAGCAGCAAAACTAAGAATGAAACGCATTTCGTATGCCCGACTATTAAAGAACATGCGTTTTAGCGTGTCGGTAATGCATTGTACGTTTTTTTGAACCGGTCAGGTAGCTTTGTACCCAACATGCAATCTTTATGCATTTATTTTTTAGTCCCTTTTTCTCCGTTTTTTTGATCATGCAGGACATGTTAAGTAACGACTCGGCTTCGCTAGTCGACGCATATGAACGCGATGCCCTACTCGTTTACCGCATCTTTGATCTTGCAGCTGCGACGATGTGTAATATCCCGAATTAATCAGGATCATGGGACGTAATTTCCCGGCCTAGCATAATTGGCGCGTAATCCAGGTGCATATTATCTGAGTGAGCGCTGTTTCGCTCTTCCTCGCGTGTGTTCGTGACGCGCTCTTCGTTCGTTACAGGATCCTGAGCTAGTGAGGAACATCTGTCTGTGGGTGAAGGATGCGGTGAAGATTCCATTTTTCGCTAAAATGACACCCAATGTTACGGACATCACTGTCATCGCTACGGCCGCCAAGGAAGGTACGAGGATTGCGATGCAAACCAACAGAGCAATATGTGTAATTTGCACAAGACACGACACATTCAGCGCGAATATATGCAAATAATAATCGTCCCCGAGTTTTGAATTAATAGAGATATTTTGATTTCACAGTTGCCCAGTCAATCTACTTAAAAGCATTCAGTGCTTCAATGGACAATTGGGGGAGGGGGGCAACTAATCAAAATGCTGCCCATTTTGATCTTTTTTATTCGTTGCACGGCTGACATTTTCAGTCAGTGCTGCAAGTTTCTCGTTTAGCTATACTTCTGTCTGCTCCTGTTTAGACTGTAAATTTTTCTATCTACCTCTTCAATCTACCGAGCACTGTAGAGTCGCAGAGAATTTGTAATCTATTTTGTAATCTCCAAACGATATCTTCTCCACGTGAACGGCCGAATTTAGGTCAGAAAAACGCACACAACAATCTCACGGCGGGCACAGACCCCCCCGCAACCTCGACCCACTTCGCGCGGGTGGAAAAAGGCCTTGGGAATCTTGGGGGCGGGCGAAAAAAATATACGACGTGAGGCACGAAAAAATGGTTGCCGTGACGTCGTCTGCACTGTTGTTTCGGCAACCAACGTGCCGGGGCTGACAAGGATGCTCTGTTGTTTTAGGCAAGGCGGACGGCGGGATGGAGGGCTGATGGGGATGCTCTGTTGTTTCAGGCAAGGCGGAGGGCGTGTCGGGAGGCTGATGGGGATGCTCTGTTGTTTCAGGCAAGGCGGAGGGTGTGATGGGGGGGGCTGATGGGGATGCTCTGTTGTTTCAGGCAAGGCGGACGGCGTGTCGGGAGGCTGATGGGGATGCTCTGTTGTTTCAGGCAAGGCGGACGGCGTGACGGCGATCAACACCGTATCGGGGCTGATGGGACTGCGCAGCGACGCGTCGCCGTGGCCCGCGGTCGGCGGCAAGAAACGCACGACGTACGGCGGCGTCTCGGGCAACGCGATCCGCCCCATCGCTCTGCGCGACGTCTCCTCCATCGCGAGGGCTCTCCCCGGATTCCCGATACTCGCCACGGGAGGGATCGACTCCGCCGAGGCCGGGCTCCAGTTCCTGCACGCCGGTGCCACCTTGCTGCAGGTAGGTGCGCGGAGACCAGGGGAATTTTTTTTTCTCCTTTGTGTTACTCCATTTTTCTCCAAATTTTTGTGTCCAAAATTTTTGGGGGCTACTTTTGACATTTTGATGGCTACTTTTTAACCCTTCTAGAGGCAGAGCGACATTAATGTCGTCTCCCGTAGAATGGGCAGAACGACATAAATGTCGTTTTTACCAAAGCCATTTCTAACAGCCTCTCTGATTGGCTAAAGCTTAGATTTCAATGTTTAGTTGGTCTGGTTATCACGAGAGGGCTCTGATGTTCACGAAACTGCACACTTTAGGCTGAAATCATGGTAAATGTTCATTGAATCACCAAATTGACAAGGTTATAGACCTGGAAGTAAAAAAGTTGTTTCAAGATGGCGACCTCCAGTAAATCACCATGTCGTTCTGTGCGAAATAGGCCCCGTTCGTTTAATATACAGCAAGTTGTGGGACTTCTATCTGATTCTGATGATGAAGATGAGGTTGTAGATAGTGGTAGTGACCTAGATCCCAATGATTTCCCTGGTTCTGACTCAGAATCAGGTAATGAAAATGAAAATGATGATGTGCATGCTTCTGATTCTTCTCTTCTGGACTATGCAAGACATGCTTCCCACAATATCATAAGTAAGGTAGGAAAATGCACGTTTTCTACTCTTATTGGCTCTTACAGTGTATTCATGTATAATCATAATGATTTTACCATGATTTCAGCCTCAAATAATGCCCTAAAGAAGTTTAAATCAAAGTTACCCGTTTTTAGGTAAAATTTGGGAATTAATTCGCCCAAATCACTATGTATTTGGGCAAAAACCTGCCTCTAAAAGGGTTAATAGTCAAATTTATGTAATTATTGGCTTCTCAGATGGTTCTCGCATTTCTACTGGAACAGTCGGAAATTTTACGGGGGCGACTCTTTCATAATACGCATGAAAAAATCGCCCTCATCATTGAAATTTTGGGGGTGATTTAGAACCTAGCGAGGGCGCCACTTTGGTGCATGTAGGTGCGGTGTAGTGTAGGGAGAGCGTGGTGGCGCCACCTTGCCGCAAGTATGTACGGTGGCGCCACCTTGCTGCAGATAGGTGCGCTGTAATGTATAGAGATTTCGTGCCTGCACATGAGCGGTTTTTCCATTGTATGGTTTGCTTGTTTGTACGCGTGTGTGTGCGTCCGTGTGTGCAAGGCTTTACTTAAACGTGTACGTGTATGCGTGTGTGCCGGGAGCATGCGTATCTGCTTGCATGCATCTTTGTGTGTGCATAGGCGCAATATATTCTATTTATGTATCTCCTGTCTGTCATTGTGAACAATAGATCTGGATACAAACATTCATTAAAAAAAACCAAACAAAGTGCAGTTGATGTTTCCATAGTGAGATATTTTATCGACATGACGGCTAGAATCATTAAGCATGTAGTTCCTATGCTTCGTTGCACTCTCCCATGCCATTCTGGCATCGCCCCGGCAGTAGTGAACGTTTAGACCTTTTCTCCAGCTAGCTCCGCTCCTGTCGTCACACCGAAACACAAGTCTCACAAATTTGAGGTTATTGAGGTCTTGTATGCGGAGAATCTCGTGCGAAACCTACTCGTATTATGATTGTGTCGTGCGCGACGTGACACGCTGCCTGATTTTGTGAAGGACGATCGAGGGCGGTCGGGACTTTTTGAAACCGAAATTTATCATCACGCATGGGTTGTTGCCGCAGTAAATGCGCTATCGTTTCACTCTGACATTTAGAATGAAAACGATCTGTGACGCAATGTCAGCGTTTTTTGCTTCGCTCGCCGCGACGGTTCGTCATCAACGTCACTCGTATTTCGTGCGCGGGTCACATAATATTACACAGCACGTTTGCGTGGCATACGAATAAAGCGTATGGACACACACACACACATATACTGTATATATATATATACACATATATACATATGTATATATATGTACATATATACATATACGCTTTAGTATCAACATGAATGTCTCATGTCGGCTCGGCTGTGACTACGGGATGTGAATAATTTCACCCGATTAGAACCCACTCAGCTTATGCATTCACTGCTCCAATTACTGTCCGTTGTGATTAGCCACCGGTGTTACCACACATAGAGCCCGGCTGCACGTAATTCCATGGTGACGTGTCTAACAAGCGGAGCGATAACGGCAGTAATGGCTTCAATCACTTACGCGCATCTCCGATGGTAATGCGCAGCGCGTGCACTCGTGACGATATATAAACACCGGGTCAATACTCCCACTGGTCACTTGGCCTACTCCACTGATTGAATGAACATCGGGTGACTGTCGTTGGTATCGTCCACCATTGTAGCCGTACGAATAGGCCGTTGCAAAGTCCTGACCTCCATAAGGCATCCATGACCACTAGAAGGCATCGCTGACCACTAGATGGCATTGGTAACCACAGTCGGGCATCACTGCCCACTAGATGGCGTAACTGACATCGCGAGAACGTTGCTAATCGTGCAGGAAGTATCGATGACTTCACAGGAAATATACGATGGTCGTTGGGATGCGTGCCTAGCCTCTAGGTGGAATTGTCAATCTTTAGTAGGTTTTCATCACCACCAGGTGGTGCTGATCGCCCCCAATAATGACCTATAGATGGCGTCTGCAACCTCTATGGCGTTGCTGACTCCCAGGGGTGTTGGTGACATCGGGGAGGGGCCGGTGACATTCAAGAACATCGGTGACCTCCAAGAGTCCTTGATGTCCTCTATGTGATTTCACCGGCCGCCAGGGGCAGTTAGCAACCATCAGCAGGTAGACGATCAGGGCTGCGGCAATGCTTGAGTGTACGGTGTCCGCGCGCGGCCGCTCGCCACCGCTCACGACCGCCGCCAGGGGGCGTCCTCATGCGGGCATCATCAGCAGGTAGACGATCAGGGCTGCGGCAATGCTTGAGTGTACGGTGTCCGCGCGCGGCCGCCCGCCACCGCTCACGACCGCCGGCGACTCGTTCATCTCTGAAATCAAGTTACAAAGCCGCGTGTGAGTTACCAGCATGGCAGCAGTATCAGCCACGCCATTTACAGCAGTAGCAATAGCAGCCACGTCGTTTACAGCAGTAGCAGTAGTAGCAGTAGTAGTAGCAGTAGTGAACATGCCGCGTGCCGCGAACATGCCGCGTGCCGTGAACATGCCGCGTGCCGTGAACATGCCGCGCGCCGCGAACATGCCGTGCTCCGTGAACATGCTGTGTGTTCTTCTCAGGTGCTGAAGAGCGGAGAGAAGATCAGTGGCATGGAGTTCCTGAGGAACGAGCAGGCAGACGACGGCAGCTGGTGCCCCGACCCTGAGCAGTCGATCCGTCTCAAGGCCAACTATATCATCTCTGCTTTCGGCTCCGGTTTCTCCGACGACGACGGTAAGAGAATCTTCCTGGCATCTCCCTCGACCTCACGAGTATATATAACGGTCGTGGCGTGTCGCTCCACGCACATATTTGCGATAGAGATTTCTCTTTTTAGAGTGGGCTTTTGCGCCGGCGCGATTTTGCGACCGGAGTGACTCGTTTGCGTGTGTGATTGTTTCGCTCTACTCGTCGTGCGAATGTAGTGAGAGGGTTTTGCTCGTGGTCGGTTGTTGTTTGTGCGTATCTGTTTGGATGGGACTGACCATGCAGCTAATTAGTTCCACAGCATAACACATATACATGCACGCGTATACACAACATATACACGTTGTTTATATGATACCTTATTAGTCATACTACATGTATTTCTGTTGCAACATGCTGCGCATGGCTCGATTGTTTAGATGAACATCAAACCAGCGATCTGATTACATTTATTACAAAAAATAGCTACTAAAATAACAACAAAAACATTTTTAACGAATTAAATATTCTTTCGAACCTGCTGTATTAGATATAGGTGAATGATTCCAGACGAGTATGAGTCCGTTGCAGTTCAAACTCTGGGGACTTATTTTTCTTAAAAACAATTTTTACACACTATACCGTTCCTCGTGTCTAACAAGTGAAATACGGCAATGATTTGTTCTCTACGTTAGTGAAACAAGCGAGAAATCTATTGTAGTTCAACGTCCAGCGATGGGTTGGACATTTTTATTGTTACTCGCCATGAGCATCCCCCGATTGTTCTCCCCTCTTTCGTGCGAAATCACGCATCTTTCCTGCGAAATCACGCCTCTTTCCTGCGAAATCATGCCTCTTTCCTGCGAAATCACGCATCCTTCCTGCGAAATCACGCCTCTTTCCTGCGAAATCACACATCTTTTCTACGAAATCCCGCATCTTTCCTGCGAAATCACGCATCTTGCCACGATTCTTCTCCATGAAATCACGCATCTTGCCACGATTCTTCTCCATGGTGCCGTGAACATGCCGCGTGCCGTGAACATGCCGCGTGATGTGAACATGCCGCGTGCCGCGAACATGTCGCGTGATGTGAACATGCCACGTGCCGTGAACATGCCGCGTGCCGTGAACATGCCGCGTGATGTGAACATGCCGCGTGCCGCGAACATGCCGCGAACATGCCGCGTGCCGTGAACATGCCGCATGCCGTGAACATGCCGCGTGATGTGAACATGCCGCGTGCCGCGAACATGCCGCGTGCCGTGAACATGTCGCGTGTCACGTGCCGCGAACATGCCACGTGCCGCGAACGTGCCACGTGCCGTGAACATGCCGCGTGCCGTGAACATGCCGCGTGTCGTGAACATGCCGTGTGTCGTGAACATGCCGCGTGCCGCGAACATGCCGCGTGTCGTGAACATGCCGTGTGTCGTGAACATGCCTCGTGCCGCGAACATGCCTCGTGCCGTGAACATGTCGCGTGATGTGAACATGCCACCATGTTCGCGGCACGCGGCATGTTCACGGCACGCGGCAAGTTCACGGCACGCGGCATGTTCGCGGCACGCGGCATGTTTGCGGCACGCGGCATGTTCGCGGAACCTAGTATGTTCACATCACGCGACATGTTCATGGCACATGGCATGTTCAC